TTCAATCGATACCAAAAAAAAAAAAAAAATCAAAAGTTTGGGGGTGGGCAAATGCCCCCCAGGACCGCCCTTGGGCCCACCCCTGTACATTTCTGTATATTGTTTTAATCATTTTTTTATTTAACACACAATTTTATATAGAAAAACGTATAGAACATCGAGATTAAATGGCAAAATGTTAGGGTTTGAAGATTTTTGGGATTGAAGAAAGTTCTTGGAGCAAGATTCAATTCTTTCCTTCATCAAAGTTTTAAAACCCATTTATAATATTCATTCACACTGTCAGCTTTTCAATTTAATACTTTTTGTGGCATTTTAATTAAGAGTTGATAAAGATTTCGAATGCTGAAGAAATTGGGTCATTGCGTTAATTATACTGCGTGAATTAGTTTTTTATTACCAAGACAAAGGCCCATATAATATGCCAAGATGTTGGTTCGTTGTTTCCTTTGGTTAATCGAATGACTACGAANACCAAGACAAAGGCCCATATAATATGCCAAGAGGTTGGTTCGTTGTTTCCTGTGGTTAATCGAATGACTACGAAAAATGGGCGGTTCTCGAGACTCGAGATCACTTGTGGTGGCGACTTTGGCTACTGAAGCTAGGGTGGCAAAGGAGGTCATGGAACAGCAGGACAAAACTAATGGTGGGGGTGGGGGTGTTGCTACCAGCCCAAGAAAGACTAGGCTTCAGGCTTCTTGCCTATGAAGGGGACAAAGTTTGTTTTGTAAAGATTTTTTTTTTTTTTTCGATTATGTTTTTTGGGAGATTATATATGGGGTTTGCTTGATTTTCCTAGTTCTTGTTTCTGCTGAAAATTTTATCAAGGCTCATAATTTGAGTATTTCCAATTATTTATATATATGAACAAGTCTTTCTTGCTCTCTTTTTTTTTTTCCCCTTGTGGCTTGTTCATAAGGTAGTGATGGTGCCACCACCGACGTAATTCCATTTGTAGAGAGTTCAGTTAAATGTGCGGATATGAGACTCACTTCATTGACATTATCATTTAGTCCCTATTTGAGCCCCGTTTGTTAGGAAAAATGTGTTTTTTAATAGTGATTTTTTTGGAGAGTGTGTAGTTAAAAAGTATGAAAAATTTTGAGTTTATGTGTGAAATTTTTTTATGGGAGAATGCTTGATTGAAAATGAATTTTGAAAAAATAAGTTTTGAAAAAAAAAAAAAAGAGGCTCAAACATGGGCTTAATGTCATTTCACATAAGAATCATCTCCAATAAATTATACATATAGCATTACACAAATTTTGGGTTTGAATCTCAGTAAAGACCCAAATAATCTTTGAACTAAATAGAATAATTCTTCTTATATTTGGTACTCCGAGTTGGTCCGAAGTAGTTGTCCAATTGTATCCAATTTAACAAATCAAGTTGACGAGATTCCCCTTTTTTACATTTTTTATATTTTTTAATGAAATAAAATTATTTAATACTAAAAATCTCATTATAAAACAAAAAAGATAAAATGCTTCTTTAAAAAAAAAAATCATCATACCTTGCCCATTCCAAATCAATGTCCATTGAGCTTTCTTGGATACAATTTAGCCCCTGTTTGGTTTGCATAAAACTTTGATTTATTGATAAAAACTGACGAAATGTGTGATTGAAAATTTAATAAAAGTTGTAGATCCTATGAAATGTGTGATTAAAAATGAGTTTAAGAAAAAAATGAATTTTAAAAAACAAACATGCTACGCTACGTATACATTATTTTTTATATTAACTTTGACAACTTTTCACATGACACCCATTATAAATTTTTATTTTCTCAACACCCTTTCATGTCACTGATCGAATTTTGACACATAAGAGAGAATGTCATCCTTAATGTGAAAAACAAAATACATCTGGAATAATTCTTTAAGAAGTATGTGTCCAACAAGGGCTCAATTTTGTTATTAATTTTTCAAAGAGAATTCTGAAGAAGAAAAGAATATGTTTAGGCTTTGAAAAATAGAAAATATTTGATATCATATTTTTTATGTTTCAATTTCATTAATCGGGCATTAATTATTTTTTAATAAAAATTAGCCGATCACATTAATATAACTAACCCGTCACATATAGAGACCAAGTCACAATCAAACATCAATCTATGTCACAATCATAAAAAAATTTATATGTAACAACCATTTATCAGGATGGTCACATATCATATGATCAAATGACGCCTAGTTTTTGAATTTTTTTCACTCACGCTCACTCTCATACATTTCAATTATCATTACATTAGTTGAATGTTTGATATTTATTTATTTTATTTAGGTATATATTATTAACTTATGAATATGGTGATGGATTTTAATTTACAATTATCATTTAAAAATTTAAGTAATGGAACCAGAATCAAACAGTTAGGTTCCAATTTGGTTCCACATTTTAAAAAAACAACCATTGGTTCCATTATCAAAAAAATCATTGGTTGTGGATTCGGTTCGGTTCTCGATTCGGTTCGGTTATCTTAAAATTAGATCAAATGAAATAATGTCCACCCCTATTTTATATTATAAGCATCAAAAAGAGTTCCTCCACATATCTTTAATGTGGACAGACGTTAGTATTTCTCTATCTTCTTTTTGATTTATTTATTTTTTCTATTTTTAATTATTTTCATAACTTGGAATCAGGAGGGTACGAAAATTGCAACAATATTATTGGTTACAGTTTCCTTGTTTTCAAGTCTAATGACTTCTCTTTAATGCTTCTATTTTACTTTACATTGTCCTTTCCAGCGTTTTAATTAACTTTGTATTTTGGAACTATACTACTTGTACAATAAATTTGACAATAAGTTTGACAATTTGTGAATTGACAGACATTATGTGCATTGATTTGAAAGATTGTTTTTGAATTCAATGGTCATGATTTATACACGTCACACATTGTCAAAATTATTGCGCAAATTCATTGTACAAGTAGTTTAATTCTTGTATTTTTATGGCAA